TGTCACACTTTACGTCCTCACCCGCTCGGTTTCTGCTTTAAAGCAGCAGATTTTGTTTAAAAGACCTCGTTACAGACGTCGCTCCTCCACAGAGACAGCTACCGCCGCCCCTCAGGCTGGCAAGGACCGCCCCTGAACACTGGCGCCTGAGGCCGCGCGCCTGGAGGCTGAGCCCTGACTGCCCCCTGGGCACAGGCGCGGGGCGGCCGTCCGGAGCGGGACTCACTGCAAGCCCCAGCTCCGCACCTGCCAGCGCCGGCGCTTCCAAGGCCCCCAAAACGCGGGCGGCGCGCACCCCGGCCGCATCCCGCCTGCGCGCCCGCCCCGGTCCCGGGAGACGCTCGGCCCGGCCGCCCGGGCCCGCCGCCGCCGCCATCTTACCGTGCGGAACCTGCCTCCAACGCTGCGCGGTCTGGGCGGCCGCGATTCCGCAGCCTCTCCTGGGCCGGGGAGGGGTGGCGGCGGCTGGGGCGCCCGAGTAGAAGGAGGCGGAGACGGGGGCCGCGGCGGAGGCGGAGGCGGGGGCGGGGGCGGGGGCGGGGAGCAGGAGGGCAGGCGCACCGGCGGCCGCCCCTCAGCACCTCTCGCGACAGCACGAGAGCGCGAGAGCGCGAGCCGATGACCAATGAAGCGCCCCCGCGAGGAGGCGGGGCGGACGGCCTCCCGGAAGCGCGGGACCTAGTTTCCGTCCTTGCGCAGAACTCCCCTCGCGGAGTCGTCGCGCTACGGGTTGGCGCGAGAGTCAAAAGGCGTCGGCCGCCTCTGGCAAGATGGCTGCTGCGGAGGCGTTGGAGTGCGGAAACCTGGAGCCGGGATGGCGACGTCTACACTGAGTCGGAGGCGAAGGTCCCAGCTCTTTTCCTGTCGTTTGCGTGAGGCTGGACGGAGTGGGGCGGGGGAAAGGCGCCGGGTGTCCGCGGCCGCCCCTGAGACGGGGAAGGAGTCCCCTCCCGACCGGCGGCCTTCCAGGGCTGGTGTCCCTGAGGCCCAGGGAGAGACCGCGGACCCGAGACCGGGCTGGGCGAGAGCTGTGCTCTTTGCTCGTTGAAGCGAGTTCCTCGGCTTTACTCGAGATGTTATTGAGCGCGTCCTCACTCGAGGCCAGGTGGGGAATCAGAAGGGCCCTGCCCTCAGGGCGCCTCCCAGGGGCTGCGCCGAAGGGCGGGTCGCGGCCAGGGCGCGCGGGACAAAGGAGACCCCACATGCTTGTGGGGCGGAGTCCCGGCGGTGGCGCGGGGCAGGGCCGGGGGTACTCGGTCACTGGAGACCGCCGGGCAGGAGCGCGGGTTGAGGCCGCACTTGGGTATTTGCGCGTTTACTTGCTTATTGCCTGTCCGCTCGGGAGGAATGCAAACTCTGTCATCGCAGGGTCCCATGTTTCTGTTGCTGGGAAGTAACTTAAAGTATTTAATAGAGCCGAAGGAAGAAATAGTGTCCTTGAGGGGCAGCCCCTGATTTCATCTGCGAGGAATTCACGGGACGGCTTCTTTCTGAAGTAGCAGTCGGGGGTGAGGTGGTTTCGTGTGTTTGCTTACAAGTGAGCTGAATAACGTGTAAGCTATGTCGGTCTGTCTACTCAGCGACAGTAAGTCCAGTTCGGCAAATAGTTTGGAGGAAGACTGGTTTTGGACATTTTCCGTTAATCGAAGGAGCTAAATCTACAGGTCTAAAGTCTTGACAACATTATGCTTCATACACAGAGGCAGTACAAGCCAGTAATTACATCATTTGCAACTACCTAAGCCTCTGGTCAACAGTTCTTGGTATTTATGTGTTTATTTTAGACGGAGTCTCACTCTGTCGCCAGGCTGGAGCGCAGTGGCGTCATCTCCGCTCACTGCAATTTCCACCTCCCGGGTTCAAGCGATTCTCCTGTCTCAGCCTCTCGAGTAGCTGGGACTACAGGCGCGCGCCACCACGCCCAGCTAATTTTTGTATTTTTAGTAGAGATGAGGTTTCACCTTGTTCGTCAGGCTGGTCTCGATCTCTTGACCTCGTGATCCGCCCGCCTCAGCCTCCCAAAGTGCTAGGAATTTCAGGCGCGAGCCCCGGCGCCCGGCCTATTTTTATTTTATTTTATTTATTTTTTGAGAAGGAGTCTCACTTTGTTGCCCAGGCTGGAGTGCACTGTCACGATATCGGCTCACTGCAACCTCCGCCTCCTGGGTTCCAGTGATTCTCCTGCCTCAGCCTCCCGAGTAGCTGGAACTACAGGCACCCGCCACCACGCTCGGCTAATTATTTTGTGTTTTTAGAACAGGCGGGGTTTCACCATGTTGGCCAGGCTGGTCTCGAACTCCTGACCTCAAATGATCACCCACCTTGGCCGCCCAGGGTGCTGGGATTACAGGCGTGAACCACTGCGCCCGGCCTATTTTTATTTTTTAAGTTTTTTAGAGACGGGGTCTTGCCTTCTTGCCTAGGCTGGTCTCGATCTTCTGGGCTCAAGCCATCCTCCCACCTCGGCCTCCGAAGTGCTGGGTTTACAGGCGTTAGCCACCACGCCCAGCCTGAACGTCAACGAAAAAGTGTGCAAGGGGATGCAGGTGTGCAAGGGGATGCGTGAGCAGAAAGCTTGAGTGCTAGCGCCTTCAGGGGACATTCCTTAACATTCCAGGTCAAAGAGGCTTTCTCAGTGCTTGCCTGTGGGTCACAGGTTAATACCTCTCCTCCCAGCAGCCAGCCAGTTACCAAGTCCTACTTGAGCCCCCTCCTTAATCCTCTCTAGAAACTGGCTCCTTTGTGTTGTTTCCCAGCCTCTTCCACCATAAATGGAAACCATCATCTTTGCTTTTTGGACTGCCAGGGCGTCTCCATAACTCCTGTTGAGTCCCAGAAGTCCTGTCACTACCTCTCACATAGCAGACGGGATGATCTCTCCAAAAGCCGTCACTCATTGACTCTAGCCTCCTAACATCCCTTGGGGACTCCCAATTGCCTACGTAAAGTTAGCGCAGCTGTAAATCTGCACTCCTGATCTTACTCTCTGCTCCAGCCATCCCAGCCGACTGGAGGTTTTCTCATGTCAGCAAGCTTTGTTATCGCTGTGCTCTCACAGTCTGGGCCCTGCGTGTAAAACACTTCCCTAGGCTAACTCCTGCTCACCTCCTCAGTAGAGACGAGGCTTTCTTGGGGAAGTCTTCCTTAAACAAAGCTGGATTGAGTGCCTTTCCTTTATACTTGCACACAATCCTAAATTACCTGTTGGTGGCTCTTAGCACACGGTCCGTGTGGTTACCACCTGATGGGATGTCATGATTCACCGTAAAATGGTAAGCTTCATGCGAGTTGATTATGGCTGAAGTCTAGTTCGTAATAGGAGCTCCATAAATATTTATTTGTTGAGTGATGAAGGAATAAATGAGAGAATGATTATGAGGATCTTAACTAGAAGCAATTCTAGCAAAAATGGAAAGAGACCTTCAGTCAGGGGGGAAATGAGCAGTCCTTGGTGGGACTGCTAATTTGTGGGAGCTAAGAAGGAAGACCAGAGTGATGCGGGTGAGTAGCACAGCTGATGAGGTGGTGGCACCAACTGAGAATGATCATGAGGAAGAAGGAGGTGCAACAACGAGGGAAAGGTGGTGCGTTCAGCGTGGGCCTCATTGAATTGGAGGTGCCTGTAGGACACATCTAAAGCTCAAGGGGAAGAGCAGGGTGAGAGCTGAGAGTTGATGGGTACAGTATTCAGAGGAAGTCTGTGGAGACAAGGAGTGGATCAAGTCCGGAATGCAGAGCTGCAAGCTGTATTCGCTGAGGAAGAAGTTACCTATGAACCGTAGCAAGAAGATGACCAGGGGGGTCTGACAAGAACCAGGGGCTTCAAAGGTGCTCCTTGAAGCCACAGAGTGTTGAGTTTCAAGAAGCTATGTTAGCAGTTTCCAGCAGGGAAGTCCAGGGTGAAGCTGCCAAAACTCGCCTTTTGATAGTTTTTAGTGAGAGAGCAAGAAGTTGAGTGATGTGATGGGAATGGGAAACATTGGAGTGTGTTGAACAGGGGTGAGGTGAAGACAGCGTAGTATATTGAAGGCGTTCAGAAGCCATTCGGGCCACGCACATATGTACTGAGAAGTGAACAGTGAGCTAGATGCCACCAAATGCAGCAGCAGGTGAGACTGAGGAGCAGGGAAGGGGGTCAAGGATCATTTCTCAGCTTCTGGCCTATGAATGTATAGGGTGGTGGGACCATCCTCTGCATAGGGAACGCCAGAGAAGAGTCTGAATGTATGTAGTAGGGAGGTCAGAAGTCCTAAGCTCATTTTGCTTGTGTTAGATAGGTTTTGAAGTGCATTTGAGGCATTCATGTGGAGATGCCAGGGGAGCAGGTGAATGATGGTGCCTGGATCCAGGCAGAGATAAAGGCACCTACAGCCAGGTGTGCATGAAGTCTCCATGGAGAAGGTATGGGTGGAGGGAGAGGAGGAGAGCCTGGGCCAGAGCTCTGAAGACACCAGCATGGAGGGTCACCAAGGGTGCAGGAGAGCAGGAAAGAGGTAGGTGGGTCCTGGGACAGCTCGAGAGGGTGCAGGGCTACACCGGTTGACATCTGGGACAGTGACAAGGATTTCAGCCTGCTGGATTCATCAACTGCCTGAGCTTTCCTGTGACAGAGGTGGGCCTGTGGACTAGAGAAACCACAGGCTTGGCCCTTACCGTCAGCTGAGGGGCAACCAGGTGTTCAGAACTTCCAGTGTCTTGCAAGCTGAGGTGGTGGCTTTGAACTTGAGTTCTTTCCTATTGAAAGAGATGAACAGAAAGAGGAGTGCTAAAGGTATATTAGTTGTAAAAGAACATTAATGAGTTTTTAAAAAGGGGAAAGCAGTTTGCCTAGGCTGGAGTGCAGTGGCGTGATAACAGCTCACTGCAACCTACACCTACACCTCCCAGCTAATCCTCCCATGTTAGCCTCTTGAGTAGCTGGGACTACAAGCGGAAGCCACCATACCCAGCTAATTTCATTTATTTTTTGTAGAGGAGAGTTCTCACTATGTTGCCCAGGCTGTTCTCAAACTTCTGGTCGCAAGCAATCCTCCTGCCTCGGCCTCCCAGTGTGCTGGGATTACAGGTGTAATTACGTAGAGTGTTTCCTGTACTCAAATCATAGAATGTTTAAAAAACCAGGATATCAGCCATGTTTCAAAACCACATTATTCCCATGGATGTTTTGTTTTACTCTCAAAACCCGAAAGCATAAAATCAAACCCCTACATACTGGAGACTTCAGGCTTTCAAAGAGATTGGGCAAATCAAACCACCTTATTTTTCAGGATAGTTGATAAACCCATCCATTGTTGATGCTCAGAATGATTGGCACAAGTAGGAAGGAAACACGCAGACCTCAATTTTCATAGACCTCACTTTTCACAGTATTTTAAACAATTATTCTTAGACATGTTGGAAAGGGGTAAGGAAGAATTTTCCTGTAGTCTGCTGCACATATTATTATTATTATTATTATTATTATTTTTTTTTTTTGAGACAGAATTTCGCTCTTGTTGCGCAGGCTGGAGTGCAGTGGCGCGATCTTGGCTCACCACAACCTCCGCCTCCCGGTTTAAGCAATTCTCCTGCCTCAGCCTCCTGAGTAGCTAGGATTACAGACATGTGCCACCACGCCCGGCTGATTTTGTATTTTTAGTAGAGATAGGGTTTCTTCATGGTGGTCAGGCTGGTCTCGAACTCCAGACCTCAGGTGATCCGCCTGCCTCGGCCTCCCAAAGTGCTGGGATGAGAGGCATGAGCCACCACCCCTGCCCTGCTGCACATATTCTGACACCATGTGTTTGGTGAACCCAGACCCTGTAGAGCATCTTTAACTGGCGATTGTTTGATATAGGTGCCCTTCCCCCTCCCTCTATTTGCCTGATTTTATTTCCCTTTCTAGATTATACCACTCAGTCAGAAAGCACTGAATATTTTGTAAGTTTGTTTGGGTGAGAGCAAGAATAATCTTTTCTTGATTTTTTTTTTTTTTTTTTAAACCTTTAACTGCTGCTGAGGTTGAGACATAAGCTATCTAGCATACTGTTACCTGAAACACACATGGCGGGAGGGAAGGTGGTACAGTCCTGCCATTGCAGACCAGTGGGAAAGGCCAAAGAGTGTTTTGAGTAGCAATGTACATGGTCAAAGCATCATATAATGTACTATTTCATTTGAGTTTGATTATGCACTTTGAACCTGGCTGGTTAGGATTTGATAGACAGTTATTGGTTTGGGATTTTTTTAATGAAAATTAACAAAATATATATATAAATATACACACATACATGTGGATAGTTCTTTCTGTGTCTTAAGTTCTTTGTATGCATGCAGCTGTTGTGATCACATGTCTGATGGGCAGGTAGAAGTAGACATAGAGTTCCTGTGTTTCCCAGGCTGGCCTTCAACTCCTGGGCTCCAGTTATCCTCCCTCCTGGGCCTCCCAAAGTGTTGAGATTACAGGCGTGGGCCACCGTGCCTGGCTCTACATTTACTCTTTAAATACTTTCCTATTGGAATGAAAGAGGCAGGGTGGCTCACACCTATAATCCCAGCACTTTGGGGAGGCTGAGACAGGAGGATTCCTCGAGGCCAGGAGTCTGAGACTAGCCAGGTCAACAAAGCAAGACCTCCCTGCTGTTTCTTAAAAGAAGGGAAAAAATCTCAAGTTCCCATTTGGGTATCTTTTGGAAACTGCTGATAGCTCAGCCTTTGTTGTTATTGTTGGTATTTTCTCCAAACACACTCTCAGTTTTACCATTTTGTTTTTGTGAACTAAGCAAGAACAGGAATTAATTTATACAGTTAATCCTATCTGGACAAATTCTGGAAGGTTACTGAAGTCTCTTTCACTTCTTAAAGTGTTTTCATTTAAGAAAAAAGTCTGTAATTGTAGTCTGCACAATTGTAGCCCTATCCCTCCCCGTGAGGTCCCATACTCTGGAGGCATTGAGGTTAGGCAGAAGGCACAGGAGTGGGGCCAGGGCCCATTGCGTCTGGAACTGATGGCTGCCTCTGACCTCATGGACATCCCTGCACCTTCTTCCTGGTGCTCACCAGCAGGTGCAGGTATTCAGCCATCTCTGGGTTCGTTTCCCCTTTCTCCGTGGTCTATATTCCGTGGTGTGAATAGCCTGTAAGGGCAAATATCCTATTTGGGTACAACCACTTTACTCTTACTCTGTCAGAATCTGTGAAAGCGTTTTTTCGGCTTTCTTGTTTGCTGTGTTCCTTTAAAGACGGTTGAGATAAAACCACTCAAAAATAAATAGTTTTTTGCCTTATACTTACTAAAATATTAATTTATTCCAAAGTTGTCTTTATTTACTTTTCACTGACCTCATAGGGAAAACTTAGACAACTAAGAGAAACATGAAACATTCTCAGAGGAAGGAGTAATGAGCATGGTTCTGCATTAATGTGTTCTCTCCTTAGCAGAAGATATAGAACTACTGCAGCTCGGGCCAGGCATTGTGGCTCATGGCTGTAATCCCAGCACTTTGGGAGGCAGAGGCGGGTGGATCCCTGGAGTCCGAGACCAGCCTGGGCAACATAGTGAAACCCCATCTCTACAAAAAATACAAAAATTAGCCAGGTGCGGTTACAGGCGTGCTGCGCCTGTAGTCCCAGCTACTCAGGAAGCTGAGGCAGAAGGGTTGCTTGAGCCTGGGAGGCGGACGTTGCAGACAGCCAATATCACACTACTGCACTCCAGCCTGGCGACAGAGTGAGACCTTGTCTCAAGGAAAGCAACACCACAAACTGCAGCTCATTCTTTCTAAAGATATCTGGAAAATGACAAAAGAGAGAGTAACACATCCAGATTCAGTTCCCTACCATGAGAAGTTCCTTTTGCCTTGTTTGTGGATATTGTTGTAAGTTCATTGCAGCTGCCTTGAGTAACGTACAGAGGCTAATGTGATCAAAGAAAGATTCATCCCTTGTTTTTCTAGTTAAAAGTCATAGCACAGGTTTCTAGTAACATTCAAATGATAAGACACTGTCCGTAATGCTAATTACAAAAATGCAGTATGTATAGTAATTTGGTACAGCATTTAAGGGGGGTGATGCCCTCCTCCCATCTCATTTCCCTCCCTTTTTCGTATTTCACATTTATTCTTTTGCCTAAAAGACAGAAAATTGGTATGATTCTCATATGCTGCATAGAACATGTAGCTCCATCACATCCCACGGCTTTCTAGAGGTCTTCGGGGTTGGAACACGAAGTGTAACTTCTGTTTCTGTTTTTCCTTGAATTCTTTTGTTTCCTGGCCCTTTTCCATCCTGTCAGTTCCCCTTAACTTACCACCCACTGTCCTCCATACTCCCCCTCTGTGTTGGTTGTCTCAAAACAGCATTCAGCGGAATTCACTGAGTAGGTGAATTCTGTGAAGTTGCCTTTTCTGGCAGTGCTGTTGCTCAGTGATGCACAAACGTGGCATTTGCCCTTTGGTAGACAAAGATCTGGGTTTTTTTGTTTTGTTTTGTTTTTTTGGTTTTTTGTTTTTGTTTTGTTTTGAGACAGAGTCTCCCAGGCTGGAGTGCAGTGGGTTCAAGAAATTCTCCTGCCTTATCCTCCCGAGTAGCTGGGATTACAGGCGCCGCCACCACGCGCGGCTAATTTTTCTATTTTTAGTAGAGATGGGGTTTCACCATGTTGGTCAGGCTGGTCTTGAACTCCTGACCTCAGGAGCTCAAGTGATCCGCCCGCCTCGGCCTCACAAAGTGCTGAGATGACAGGCGTAAGCCACTGCGCCCGGCAAATCTGGCTAATATTCTTTAAAGGAGCCAAAGGCAGTGCTTTACTGTTTGCTTTGAGGGGAAGTAGTGGCCGATGTGATTGTGACACCTTTTAGCATTGGTGACTTGATTTATCTAAAGTTAACTGTTAAAGTTAGCTGACCTTATACAATGTAAAAGTAATGAAAATTCAGTTTCTCCAAAACAACAACACCACCACCACACACAGCACACAGTGGCTGAAGTTGTTAGCAATAAGAAAACAGTAGGCATATATATATGTGTATATATACACACACATACATATATGCATATATATATATACACACACACACACATATATATTCCCCGCCACCGGGAATCCACGTTCTCCTCCTGGGTAAAGGAGAGGGTTGTATTTTGTGATTCCTTTTTCCTGCCCCAAGTGGCTAGCGATACAGCCCCAGCGCGCCGGGCACTGAGTCCCTGGAGCACGGCGTGGGGCGCCTGGCGCAGACACGACTCAGGCCCGGGTCGGTCTCCGGCCAGAAAGAACTATGTTCCGGCCGCGCGGGTCGCGGGCCCAGGATGCATCACTGCAGGCCTCCATCCTGCCTCGGCGGAAGTCTGCAAGAATCCTGCGGGCGTCCTCCAGAGCGAGCAGAGGAGGAGCTCAGCGCCGAGGCCCAAGCGCGCCGCGCCGTCGCCCCTCCCCGTGCCCCTCCGCCGCTGCTCCCCTCAAAAAGGGGAGACCTGGACGCTGCCCGGTGGCCTCGGCGGGGGCCCTGTGCTTAGCGGCTCTGAATCCCAAGTGAGAAGAATGAAACGTCCTGACGCTGTCCGGCTTCCGGTTCTTGGAGAGGGCGGGAACTCTCCGCCGAGAGAACTGTGCGGAGCCGGGAAGCGCTGGCGCTCCTTCGCTTTCACGGCACTAAGCGAAATCCGACTTTAAACCAAGTAAAGCCGGCTGCCTGCTGGAGTATTTTTGTCATAGTATTTTTATTTTGGGATCAGGGTATTCTGCTGCGGACCCCGAGTCCCAATGGAGGAGGCTTATAACCGCGGAAAGCAATTTTTTTTTTTTTTTTTAAAGAATTGCTGAGTTTTCCGGATTGTACTTTCAAAAACTTTCCTTAAACTTTGCGTGGCGTGTGTGTGGCAGAAACTGGTGTCTACACGTTACAAAAGTGTACTGTTTACACCTATTTGTGATGCACCCATCGTGGTTTTTTTTTCCATGGACCACCTATTAAACTTCCTGCTGGAGCGCTCTTGGCTCCCTTCCTGCTTTCGGGGCCACATCCTGTTGTAAATCGGTGCTACTTGTGGGGTTTTGTTTGTGGATTGGGAATATTTAAGGAACAATTTATCGAAACAACTGAAGACTTTGTTTCCTCCTTTGGGTTTTACTTTTTACATAAATTCGGTTAGGAAAAAGCATTATTTTGCTAGTAGAGTTCAAATTCAAATACCCAGACTGTAGATTCTCCAAATGCCTTTCTCACCAGGGAGGGCAGCTCCCAGGAGTAGTGACGGCAGGTAAGCTGGGATAGGCTGACTTCATCACCTTGTAGGTGGGGAAGGCCAGAGTGGATAGTCTGGCCAGGCCTCCACAGCTGAGCCAGCTTCTGGGTGGCGGGGGAGATGAGAACGAGAGGCAGGTTCCAGTATCCTCTGGACTTGCAGGAAGGCAGGCATTCTGCGTATCGCTGAGCACTGCGGTGAGCGTTCCGTTTACTCATGTATTCCTGCCTTTTTCTTTCTCTTGGTTCTCTTGTCCCTGAGCCACCTTGTCCACTCTTTCTATTCCCTTAGTGCCTTTCCATCTATCTCTCCTGAGTGCCCAACCTGAAACTGCACCCAAGAGTTAAAATCTCTTAAAATCTCACCGTCTTGCAGAAAGAAATTGAGGCTGGTTTAAAGATCCTCAGCAAAAGAGAGTGGGCTGAGGTTCCCCCATACCAGTTGGATTCAGAGAGAGCCTCTTGTAGGGAGGCCTCATGTGGTCTTCACCTGGACCTCAGCATGTGAGCCCTCCTTTAACAGAGAGCTCGCCCAAGACCACAGTGCTTGTTAAAGGTGGTCTCAACCCCGTCTAAGCTTCCCACTACCCCGTGTCTGAGGGCAAAAACCCCTCTTTGCAACCTGAAGACACACTCAAGATGGAAGACTGTCAAGGCCATCCCTGCCAGATTCCATTAATGTGGTCCTAATGGGCCACACCAGCAGAAACAAGCTGCGTTGTATTCCTTTGAAGAAAACTAAGTCCGCCTCAGAAACTGGCAGACCCTGTAATCTTCAGAGGTAGTATTTAAAAAAGCACACCTGCCTCAAAGAAAGCCCCCTGGTTCATCCACGGAAGCATCGCAGAAGCCTCTCTGTATTAGGGGCAGCTTTACGGCACTCTGGGCCCCTTTTGCTCTTGACCAGGGCCGACGCCAAAGGCTAGATGGTGCACGCTTCCAGGTAGCGTATCACTAGTGGTTCACAGAAGCGAAAGCAATGGGGCCACCTCCCCCTACAAGTCCCTGCCCTCGGAGCAAGTGGCCAGTGCCCATGGTGCCTCAAGGCAGCAGCTGCCCCTCCTGCCCCCTCCCAGTCTCTTTCCTGCAGTATCTGGGGACAGACAGGTGATGGGGTGTCACACTAGTTACTATTGAGCGAATTGAAGAAAATCCACATGGAAGGTTAACATCTACCATACCTCACTTTCCCCTCTCCTGATTGTAAATGTCTAATCGTTCCCTCCAACCCCTGTGGGCAAACATATCCATGCATTCTTTTTGAGTTCTAGCTACTGGTCAGTAGTTCTGAGTGTAGGATTGACATGGTGGGACACCGCCAAGGTCCCTGGGGCCTAGAGGTCCAGCGTGCCCGCCTCCTTTCCTCGCTGTGCTCCTTCGGCTCCCCCCACCCCACGCTCTTGGTTTCTGGCGCCGAGCTTGGGGTGGGGAGGCAGCTGGGTAGGGTCTTCAAGTTGGAGAGAAACCCCGCCGACGCCTGGACCCCGCCGCTCCCTGCCACTCCCAGCGGAGGGCGTCAGGGGCTTGCGATTTGAGAAATACAATCTGAAAGAGAAAACTTGGGCCTTTTCTTCCATTATCCTCTGTCCCCGCCCCCCACACCTCTTACAAATTTAGCCCAGGAGCTTCCTATCCCCACCGACTTGAAGGGTTTATCGGTCTTAAGAGCGAAATCTGGCGGAGTGCAGTCCCTCAGGGCTAGCATCCACGTTCCGCCTTTGCCCTGCCCGAGCTGTTCCGAGGGATCCCCGCAAGGGCAGCGCTCCAGCTTTCACCCTTGGGGTCGGGGAAATAAGGCATCCACAAAGGATGCAACCAAGTCATCGTCAGTGCAGACCCAAAGGACGCACCCGAAGTGCAGGTAGGGAAGGCGGGCGCATGCGCGCAGTACGGGGTTAGGCTTCCCAGCCTGGGGCGCCGCTCTAGCCCCGCAGCGTCTCGGTGGCTGGCCTCGTCCTCCGCCTGCCGCGCGGGGGCGCCGCTCTAGCCCCGCGCCGTCTCGGTGGCCGGCCGCCCACTCCGCGGTGTTCGGGGAAATGGCTGCGAGACCCTACAGGCCTGCGGCCTGCGGTAAGTGGCGTCCCGGGCGCCGGGTAGAGGAGCCGGCTGCCTCTTGGGCCGCCCTTGGGAGCGGGGCGGGGCCGGCATCGGAGCCCGGCCGGTGAGAGCCGCGGATCCCTCACAGGCCGCTCCCGCCGAGAAGATGGCGGCCGCGGAAGGGAGCGAGCGAGCGGGCGGGGCCGGTGAGACCAGCCGCGGGCAGGGGGCGCGGGCCTCAGACGCCGGCCCTGGTGGGCTGCGTGAGGTTGAGGCGACTGGCGAGCACTCTGTGGTCGCGGCAGGAACGGTTTCGAGGGTGGAAGTCGGGGAGGCTGCTCGCGGGGAGGAGCGCAAGACTGGCCTGGGCGAGTGCGGCCCTGGGCTCGGGGGGCTGCGCAGCTGATTTCCCTAAGCATCCCCGGGAGCTTTGGCGCTTCCTCCCGGGCCTTGGGTGCGGCCACCCCGTGGCCGGCTTAGCTTCTGGCGTGCCTTCGGGGGATTCCGGCACTGCGGGGCGGCTGGCGCTGCGGGAAGCGCGAAGAGCGGGGTTTCGCTTCCTAAAGAATGTGTCCCTACCTCTCCGCGCTGGTTTTCAGTTTTTTTGTGGAATCGTTTGTTGCGTTGGTGTGTACTGGCCGTATCTGTGACACATTTTGCCTTCCAGTGACCCTGGAAGCCGAAAAGGCCAGTTCCTGCGCTCGGCGGGTGGGGTGCCCGTGCTGCCTCCGCTGCGGCGTCCGGGGCTCCTTCTCGCGGTTCTGAGACAGTGGAGGTCAGGGCCGGCTTTTCTGCTGTGAATAAAGCACCTTAATATTTAAGTTTAGAGTTTGGGCCATAGGTAGTAGTAGCTTACAGAGTTACCAGTTATTGAAAATACTCTTTAACTTGTGCCTGGGCCATCGATATCCATGTCATCTGCCTGCTGATGGAATGAGATTTGAGCCTAGTGTACTCAGGGACTTAAGAGAAGGGAAAGGCAGATGGGAACGCCTTTTCGGTATATTCACACAGCCTAGCTATACCTCGTTTTGCATGGTTTCCCTAGGGCCACGTATGACTTGGTTGAAATACAGTTCTCAGCAGTGAAAAGGTCCTTAGCAGTGCGTTTTAAGGAGTAAATACAGTCGTTTTATTAATGGACATTCATTGCATACTGTGTTAGCACGAGGGATACAGCAGTGACCAAGGTGGCCCCTGTCCCAGTCCTCCTGGAGACAAGTTCAGTGGGGAACTTGAGAGATTATTCCACCTCCTTCCTTTAAATCAGATGTTGCCAACCCGTTTACCCTGGAGCCTAGGGCTCGTTAGTGGCCCTTTGGGTTACTGTTTGTGTCTGTATGTGTGTCTGTGACTATTCCACTATTTTTCTATTTTAAATACAGCATAGACATCTCAGAAGTGTCACCCAGGAAGACAGACACAGCCCTGTTGTGAAACTCCCTGCCTAATGCACACTTGGTTTCCTACTTGCTGTGTACATGGGGAGGAGGTGTCTGTTCTTGTAGACTTGTTTCAACAAGTTTCATGAGTACGGTACTTCTTATCTTGTTTTGGAAAAGCGTGTATCTTGAATTTTCTTCAGGCTTTCCACCAGAGGCTGACCCTTAGTAGTAGGTGGTTGAATTCAGACTATGTCAAGCAGAGCAAATTGTGCTGTGATGAGAAAGGGCACAAATAAGATAATCTGTGATTGACTGCCCAGCTGTACCCATGGTTACCAGACAGCCCAGCCCATGTTGCATGTGTATGTGTGAGCATCACAATGGCTTGTCTAGGACGTGTGTATCATCAGTTGGGCCTTGAAGGATGGTGGAGTTTCTTCATGTGAGGAGGGAATGATTGGAATGGGCATTGGCTCCCGTTTTGTTTCGCGGTGAAGTTGGCAGGTTCTGCTGTTGATACTGTGAGTTTTTTTACAGCCTTAGGGTCATAATTTCTTAAGGTCAGTTCTGTGGAGCCCAGTGGGGTGCTTCTTTTTGGTGTTTATTTTTAAGCTGTGCCACGTCTTCATTGTTTGGAATCTCTGTAAACAAGGCACATTTTTCCTTTTTGTATACCTGTCCCATGGTACCAAGTGGCTTGTTTGGCTCTTGAAGAGCAAAGATTGAATGTGTTTAACAGGTGACTCCCTATTATCCGTGGTCCCTGCACTCTCCACTTGCCTGAGAGGTCTCATCTCTGTCTGGCAGGCTTAGAAGACCACTAGGAAATTCTCTGTAAACAGAGTCTCTCACTTACCTTTCTTGTTTAAATGATGGGGTCCCTTACAGTGGTGGATACTAAGATCAGCCTCTTTATGGCTACTATCAAATGATGTACGTTAACTGCATTACAAAGGTTCTATGATAAACAGTTAATGGAAAGGTACTAATTGGGAAAGAGGAGGTCAAAGAACAAAGTCCGATTTGCTTATTTCCTGTATGTGTAGACACTCATCTGTGAGACAGTCTGTGTTGTGTAGGCCTCATTTTATTTTTTGAGTAGTAATTTTGAGGGTAAGTTGTTATGTGAATAGGTAATTGTACATGTTTTGATAAGAATTCTGTAACCATGACCATAAAACTTAATAGGTGGTAATAATCGTGTGTTAAATTGTAAAGGAGGCATTTCTCTCCATGGGTATCAAATTTTGATGCCGTGGTTTTGTTTTGCATATACTGATAGAGACATTTAAGTGGTATTTAATATACCTTTTTAATAAGATCAGCTTTTTTTCCGAAATGAAGATACCTTAATGTGTTTGGTTACAAAAATAATAGACATACGGGAAACTTAAACATTATGTAAAAATAGTAAAAACACCAGAAAGGGCACTGTCCTGAAAAGCTCCACATTACAGCTGTTTTGCACTGGTGAACGGGATGTGTTGGAGGCTGTGGCCACTGCCCTGGCCAGCTTGTCCCCAGCTCTCAATCACGTGCCAGGGAGTTTTTCTCACGGCTGTGCATGTGATGATTCATCACCCTTAAAGAATTCCCGGCCGGGCATGGTGGCTCATGCCTGGTGTCCCAGCACTTTGGGAGGCCAAGACACTTGTCAGAAGTTCGAGACCAGCCTGGCCAACATGGTGAAACCCTGTCTCTAATTAAAAATACAAAAATTAGCTGGGTTTGGTGGCACCTGCCTGTAATCCCAGCTACGTGAGAGGCCGAGGTGGAAGAATCGCTTGAACCTGGGAGGTCCAGGTTGCAGTAAGCCAAGACCGCACCACTGCACTCCAGCCTGGGTGACAGTGAGACTGTCTCAAAAAAAAAAAAAGAATTCCCGGCCGGGCGCGGTGGCTCAAGCCTGTAATCCCAGCACTTTGGGAGGCCAAGGCGGGCAGATCACGAGGTCAGGAAATCGAGACCATCCTGGCTAACATGGTGAAACCCCGTCTCTACTAAAAAACAAAAAACTAGCCAGGCATTGTGGCGGGCGCCTGTAGTCCCAGCTACTCGGGAGGCTGAGGCAGAAGAATGGTGTGAACCCGGGAGGCGGAGCTTGCAGTGAACTGAGATCCCGCCACTGCACTCCAGCCGGGGTGACAGAGCGAGACTCCGTCTCAAAAAAAAAAAAGAATTCCCTTAGGCCAAGCGTGCAGATGCGCTCTTGTAGTTCCAGCACTTTGGGAGGCTGAGGCCAGAGGATCTCTTGAAGCCAGGAGTTCCCGGCTGTAGTGAGCTGTGATTGTGCTACTGCTCTCCAGCCTGGGTGACAAAGCAAGACTCTGTCTACCCCTCACCCCCCCCCAAAAAAAGAATTTCACTATATAGATGTTTCTTGATTTTTCAAAGTAGTGTGTTAGTTTGTATTCAGTTTGTCACCTTTCTGAGAAAAAAAACCTCATAAGTTTGTGTGTACTTCCTGCTTATTTCTTCTGGGTCACCGTGAAGCACTCCTTGCCCTCCATGAAAACAGTATGTCTCCTGCTCTCTTCCCTGTGCCAAGCCCATATGGGGCCGTTGGCAAATATGTCGGACAAATAGACTCACCTAAGAGGGCATTTCTCCAAACCCTCGCCAGCACAGGCTGTGTCACTTTCTCAGGTGGCACCTACCAACTGTTGCACACTTGCCACAGATGATTTGGCACCTGACATGTCGCTTCAGAAAACCTTGTAGGAAGCTGTGAGGTCATTACCATCCCCATTGCACAGACAGGAAAGTGCAGCTCTTAGAAGCACTGCCTGGTACCCTGTGGCCCCCGCATTTGTAGACAGATGCACTGCCTGGTACCCTGTATCCCCCGCATTTGTAGACAGATGCACTGCCTGGTACACTGTGGGCCCCTTCCCCCCTGCTGCCCCACTGCCGCTGTTACCATTTGCAGCTGGGGTCTAACCCTGCATTCATAGACAGGTTCCCCCTTGAGCCCCCCAACCTCCCATCTGCTTAACTGAGGACTTGTCCTGTTTGTAAATGTCTGGGTGGGGGTGGGCACTGCTGGCTGCAGCTGTCAGGACTGGGAACGTGGAACCTGCACCAAGGGGAGTGGGCCCCAGAGATACTCCCAAGACCCTGGAGACACAGGCCAGGTAGACACTAGCCTGGCCTCTTTGGATTTGCTAGACTGTAACTAAAAGATAATGTTTTCCCTTTCACATGTTTGAGTAGTAAAACACCTTTCTGCTCACTTCTTCCTACCCATGCAGCAGTGATTGGGGGCCCGGGAAGTTGCCTGTCATACATGTTTGACTCTGTCGAATCCAGCTGTACATGTAAAAACGGATACAGAAAAAAAAAAACCCTTTTATGTCAAAACTCCTCTTTGTCTTCAGCTGGGACCGTCCCCCTACCCCCTAAAACAGAACTAGACATTGGCCTCTCAATCCCGGGGAAAGAAAGGAAGATTCCAGCTGAAATACAAAGTTAATTCTTGACTTTTGAGTTTACAAGGTCCCCAAGCAGTAATTTTGCCCCTTAGGCTGTGACCTTCATGAGTTGGAATTCCAGGCTGGGTGTGAGGGCTGACGCACTTTGGAAGACTGAGGCGTGATGATCACTTGAGCCCAGGAGTTCGAGATCAGACCGGGCAACATGGCAAAACCC